ACCACTGTAGTTTGATCGGTAGTCTAAGAGAGTAGGTATTTAGCTAAATAGTCCATAGCCAAAAAAACCACAACTGCTAAAGCAGTTTAGTAATTTAAGAAAGTCTTACATTTATAATGTTGCCAGTTCTTATAGCTGGATCGTCGTGACTGGCTGCAGAATCCCATTCTTCTAGCCTAATAGCGATGTCAGCGCGATTTGAGCTCTTATTTGCTCGCTCCATTCAAGCTCGCAATTGATAGGTTGCTGGGTCGTCTGCGCTGGTGTTAATAAGGGCAACAACCAATAAGCGCACAACTGCTCACCTGCGAGTAGATTATCGATTCTACTGCACGTTCAGCGGCCGGGCGAAGTAGTCAACTCACGCGTGACGTGGCACTTTCACCTCAGTCAAAGCGCCATATGCAAGCTAACGAACGCTGCACTCAGGCCAATTCTGAGTCAGTCTGGCCAGAAGCTAGCTGGGGCATCCTGATTGACAAATTCAAATACACTTTATGTCTCATTAACGCAGCCAGCAGCCCTTGCCTCCTCTGCGCCCTCTACCTGAGACGAAAACGTTTTTGAAACGTAGACAGACAGGATATTAGACTGAAATAGGTATCATTTAAAGAAATACACTTTCAAAAATATGCCGAAAAGTTATCAGAGGTCTAAATTCTCCCCGCCCACTTAGTAATTGGACGAAGACCAGGTGTGGGGGGGAGGGAATTATGTTCTTAGACCCGAAAAGATTAAATAATTTTAGGCGCAAAAAAGAACATCCCGAAGGTGTTTATAAACGTGACAATAATGAAGAGGACCAGGCAGAATCGATTGATGACTCGGGCAGTGAAATTCCCCTCCTTGCGCACGGCGTCCTACAAATAGTCAACGCATATTTTTTCAGGTGATTGCGCGAAACTCGATAGATTTTATTACATCTAGTTATACTACTCGTAGTAAATGAGTAGACGTTTGTGTTCATTATTTTCGACTTGTGTCTGTTTGATTTCCGTCTGAAATTATGTAAATTTTTAATTCCCATTTTTATTGATGCTTTTCTTAGACACTTAGTAACAAATATGGAGTTCAA